GATATTCTTTTATCCATGCCGAGATGTCTGCCAGGCAGCCTGAGATCCGTGCAGCTACCGTTGGATCATCTGGTTGAAATGAAAGATAGAGCTGTGTGTCATCAGCATAGCAATGGTAGGAGAAGCCATGTGCCTGGCAATAGTATAGTGACTTCCCGCAATAAGTTATTAGTCTTATTTTTGGACCGGAAGGCCCGCCATACAAATGCAGCCTTTGGAGGACGTGGCCTATGAAATGGGGACTAATACTATTTAGTGGTATTATATGTTGTGTGCGAATCCAGTCTGTAGCTGTGTCTCATTTAGAAGGCTGCACCCTCCGGAGGTCGAATCCTCTGGAGGTCGCATCCTCTGTAGGATGCATATACGAAGTGTCCTCAACCTAGAATTAAACGAGACGGCCTTCGTAGGACAGGCGGAAAAGGAAACCAGGAGTATCACGTTGCTATGCCAGCACATTTAGAGCATCGTTGCGCTCTCACACTACTTAAATTAAGGAAAATTATTTCTAAATTTGGAAAGTAATTTGAAAAAAAAAATGCTTTTACTTGTTTTATTTTGTTCAATGTTTGAGGAGCTGCAGCGTACCTACAGCAGGCATCTGTTAGAGAAAAAAAGGAGGAGTGTACTTGAAAATGATGCTTAATACAAAATCCCTCTAAATTCTAATAGATAATGTTACACTGGGTCAAATCGGTTCGTTCGCGGATGAACCGTTAATGAGAGTATTTAACTATATTTTTGAGAAAATTTTGATAACAGCAAGTTCATATATTACAGAATCATCGCGTATTCAAAAGGAAAATAAAGGTATTCCGTGTTAAATCCATACGGTTCACGGTTTGTCCCGTGTTTTAGCGCCTCACGTTTAAAATCCGTAGGGAAACTGGTCTGAAGAAAATACCTAACTTTCACCAGTAAGTGGTGTGTGAAAACTTGAGAAGAAGCGATGGTGAGTTCGGCGACAGTCTGCGTCTGTCTTCCGTGATTTGGTCAAAAATGTTTCGTGTTTCCTCGGGATATTTGACATGACGCAGCACGCGCTAATGAGTGTGTGTGTGTGTGTGTACCACCTAACCGAGCTCGAGCGGCAGTATAAAATGCGGTGCACGCGACAATTACGTCAGATTCTGATACTGAACGCAGCTTTAGCTGATCGAGTAGCGAACACGGCGACCACCGTGATGTCTCGTTCCCGCTCTCAGGGAACCGAGGTTACGATAGTAACCGGAGCGTTCCCTCTCGAGCTTTCACGAGACATCACAGAGATATTTCTCCATTATGGGAACGATATTCAATCCTGCCGTGAGAGAGGCTACGAGCAGCCTGTACAAGTTACACACTCAGCGAAGATAGAACACACACAATTCCCAATCAATAGCGACGCTTGTTAGGCGGGCTCGCAGCTGATAGGTGGAGATAAGCCAGTGAGCGTCTAATGCCCAGGCATACGAAATTTGCATATCTGGTCATTAATAACGTCGGCTGTGCTGAGAACAGGGCAGACGCAACATTACTGTCAGGGGCTGCACAGAGATAGCGGTGTTAAACAGCATAACACATAACATGATAATCGAGGCAGCAACACACGAATAGAGGTAGCATAAACGTGAATCAGTCACTCACCGACAGCACTCGGGAGGCTAAGGACTGAACGTCCAGCTTATAAAACCTGACGAAGGTATTCTGGGAAGACCAGCCGGCTGCAAAGCATATATCTTGAATAGACATACCTCTCGACCACGCCCAGGAGGAGGCGATAGCTCTTGTTGAGTGGGCCCTAATGTGAAAGGGGCATTCCAAACCTTGGCTCGTATAAGTAGCCGTGATAGCGTCCACAATCCAGTGGGAAAGTCTCTGTTTTGACACGGCCCGGCCCTTCGCACAACCACCGTAGCACACGAAAAGCTGGTCAGATTGCCGAAAGTTGGCCGAGCGGTCAATGTAAATCCTCAAAGCCCTGACGGGGCACACCGAAGTCTGAGCGTCCGCATCACGCGAGGTCGATGACTCAGAAGACAGGGCAGACAGCGAAACAGTCTGCACTCTGAAGGGGGTAGATCGTTATTTAGGCACGTAGCCTGGCCTCGGCCGGAGAGTGACGCTGCAGTCACCGGGTCCGAAGCGAATACAGTCACTGTCCACAGAAAATGACGAAATGAGGCAATAGCGGCCACATAGACTTTCAGTGTTGATGGCAGAGATCCACTATCCAGTCTGTACTGTAGAAAACGCAGCACATCCGACACGGAGCAAGCAGCCGGATCGATATGAACAATATGGCACCATTTCACAAACACTCCCCATTTCAGAGCATACAAACACCTCTTGGAGGGCGCCCGTGCCTCCGAGAACGTGTCGAGCACACGAGAATGCAGAGCATTCAGCTCCTCTGATATCCCCGAAGCAGCCACACATGAAGGCTCCATAACTCCGGGTTCGGGTGCCACACCGAGCCACTCACTTGAGACAGCAGATCCTTCCTGAAAGGGATCGGCCAGGCTGGCGCCACCAGCAGCTCTGTCAGGTCCGGGAACCAAGGCTGGTTCGGCCAGTTTGGGGCGATGAGTATCACCGAAGCCCCCTCCTCCCTGATCTTGCATAACACCAGTGGCAATATCTTGATTGGAGGAAACGCGTACAGCCTGGCTGCTGGCCAGTGCGATGTCAGAGCGTCCCCCTCCAGCGGGGAGTGAGACAGGGAGAAGAACAGCGGGCAGTGCGCATTCTCGCTCGTGGCGAACAGATCCACCTCCGCTCTCCCGTAGCGGGTCCAAATCATCCGAACCGACTCGGGGTTCAAAGCACACTCCCAGATATGTTATAGACTGACTCGGGGCGAGAATGCTCTTCTGCATGTTGACACATAGCCCTAGGGACTCCAAGTGACGAAGCAGCGTGTCTATATGGCTGACAAGCGTGTCCCGGGACTGAGCTAAAATCAGCCAATCGTCCAGATAGTTGAGAACGCACATCCCGCTCGCCCTGAGGGGGGAAAGTGCTGCATCCATGCTCTTTGAGAAAGTGTGTGGGGCCAAAGCCAGCCCGAATGGGAGAACAGAGTATTGGTACGCTGTGCCCTCGAAAGCAAACCTCAGAAAGCGTCTGTGATGCGGTGCTATCTGAATGTGAAAGTACGCGTCCTTTAAATCCACGGACGCAAACCAGTCCCCGGGGCAAATTTGCGCCAGGATTTGTTTCAGCGTTATCATCCTGAACAGACGCTTGCAAAGCGCTCTGTTGATGGGCCTGAGATCTAGAATCAGGCGGAGTCCCCCATCTCTTTTGGGTACCGCGAAATAGCGGCTGTAAAACACGCTCTCCAGCTCGCTGGGAGGGACTCGTTCTATCACTCCTTTTTCGAGCAGACTGCATACCTCTTGTCTCAGAACCAGGGCGTTTCGGGGCAATGTTAGAGACTGCACCACGCCATTGAAACGGGGTGGTCTGCGTCTGAATTGAAGGGTATACCCACGCTCTATCACACCGAGTAGCCAGCGCGAGATTCCCGGAATAACTTCCCACGCGCTCAGGAACTGACATAGCGGCTTTTGCGGCTTGGTCGTTGGATGCGCCAGCGAGTGTGTGGGCGGCGGCTCTGCACTGCTCTGAGGCGGGGCAAGCGGCACCGCATTGACTGAGGGAGGAGGAAATAGCTCTTTTTGTGAGAATGTATGCATTTTTATTGAATGAACATCCCACACACAAACATTTGAAAACATGAACTTGTGGCGCTTGGGAGCCGGGCCGCTCACGCACTCTCCTCCTCTCTTCAGACCGTCAGGACGACGGCTTAGCCACCGGCGGCTGGCGAGAGTCACGTCGCGGGCTCCTCCGCTGGCCGTGGCGTTTCCTCCCGGGACCCCACGCCTTCCTGCGGAAATCCGGCTCCTGGCGAGGAGCAGTAACGTTAGCCGTCACCGCTGCGGTCGCCGGCCTGGGATTATCTCTCTGCTGGGAAGAGCCAGGTGCCGACGAGGATCTGGATCTCGCCGTCTGCTGCTGGAAAGCGCGCCTCGGCATCACGTGACTCATGGCTTTGGCACGCTTTTGAGCCTCCGCAAAGTGCTCAGTAATGGACTCCACGGCGCTACCAAAAAGGCCGGAGGGAGTCACAGGAGCATTCAGCAGCACTTTACGGTCAGCATCCTTGAGGTCAGCTAGGTTTAACCAAAGGTGCCTCTGAAGGACGACCATAAAACCCATGGCCTTACCCACAGCCTGGGCCGCTCGCTTCGTCATTTTAACGCTTAACCTTAACGGCTTAACAGATTTTACTACATATTTTTTACTAAATTGTTTTTACTACATAGTTTTTTCCCATATGTTTACTGACTGTATTTTATTATGATAATGAACAGGCTGCATTGTCAAGGTAGCAATGTTTAACTGTGCGCACATGCAGCGCCGGCGCAATCACTTGAGTTTTTCCTTCTAACAGTGGAAGAAACTACTCCTTTTAGTCAAAGATAATTGGAATTGTAAAAGGTTTGCCTTTATTTGTGTACATTCACAATAAAAACAAATCTTTGTGCTTTTGTAAAATAAGCCTAAAGAAAAATAGGATGGAGCTTTCTGCCGTCTTGGTTTCCTTTCGCGCAGCAATATATATATATATATATAGCCTAGCTTTATTATGTTTTTCTCCGCTCGCAGAAGCGCTGCAGGTGCGTGATGTGATATGATAGGACCATGTGAATCCTCATGTTCTGTTGTTTGCTGCTTTTTGCGCATGTAAAATTAATCCCCGGGAAACAAATGTTAGTATTTTTAAGGGTCACAGACACGTATCCTTTCTAATTGAATTCACTTCTAATTTTAAATAATCTTGTCGGTTAACTGTTAATGAGCGTCGGTTGTCGGTTAGGAAAAATAACCGAAATGAACATCCCTAGTTTACAGTATCGATCAACACGTTTATAAAAGACTGTAGATGATCATGTACACAAACACAGAGAGATCAGTTTACTTACGTTTGCAAAAATGTTCTTCATTATTTAGGTGCTCATCAAATTTGTGAAGAGGCACTGGCCTGGGAAAACATCGGAGTTGGTGAGTTGACAAGACTTTATTCTTCATGAAATTCTCTATTAAGAGTTGTTTTATTAAGTTCTGTATGTAGACAGTATGAGGTATAACTGAATTAGACAATCAAAGCCCAGAATCATCATTTATAAAGTACATGTAAAGTTCAGCGCCATCATCTTTAATTTCCTTCACTCTTTAGTTTAGGAGATTTGAAATTGGTTAGGAGTCAGCTAACCTTTGGGCAATCTCTTTTCTTTAGGATGAGTTTCTCAAACCTATGTGTGAAGAGGCATATGATGTTGATGCTGCAAAGGCCTCCGTTCTGCGACCATGTCATACAATTATATGACTGGTTTATCATGGAGGAACAGAATGTCTTGATAATGGAAAATCCGCATCCCTGTGTGACCTTGTGTAAGTTCATCAAAAAAAACAGAGGTCACCTGAGTGAAGAAAAGGCAAGACTCATCATGTGGCAGCTCACCGTTGCTCTGCGTCACTGCTGGGATCGTGGTATTTTTCATGAAACAGATCTGAGTAATATTCTCATCAACACGGACACCCAGCAGTTAAAGATAATGGACTTTAGATACGCAGAGCACATCATAAAAAAACGTAAGTTGGCTTTCTGAACACAGATCACCGACTCATTTGTTACAGTTCACTGATGATGCTTTACTAAACTCTGGAAATGTGTTGTTTACAGGAAGTGAAGAAGCTTATTTAGAGGCAAGGCTCAGAGTGCCTGCTAAATTGCAAGCAGCTGAAAACTTATACTGTGTGCTGGATGCGCTCATCAAAACAATAAGACATCTGTGTTGGAAAAAAGCACACCTGTCCAGAGGTGAGACCAGTGACAAGAACACAATGGAAATAACATTGCTTGAAAAACATATAAAGCTCAGACACAAGTGACAGGAAATGATTAGTGCTGAAATGAGCAAAGTCTAAAACATTGACAAATTACACTGAATGTTTAGCAGTGATTAAATGTTTATGGACATCCAGAGAATGTGACGGTAACAGCAACAGAAGCATTGTATTTCATGATCACATTACCTTACGTGAACTACAGACCTCAGTATGTGTTTATGAGTGTCAGTAACGACAAACATGACTAATCAGCTCTCTTCTGGAAAATTTCACAGAATGCACAGATCTTCTTCGGAAACTTGGGCATGGAGGGCCATCAGCGATTGACACCTTAGAGAACATCTTACATCATGGTTTAGAGACCTCTCCACAGTGAATGAAGGAGAAGGAAACTGATCAATGTTCTTTTGATCGATTCTGGCCTTTGAAATCAGAAAGAGCTCTTTTCAATTCAAAACCGAAGCTTATTTTCATGCTCTCATTGTTTGACTGGTAGACAGACATTCTCTTCCTCTCTTCCAGCCCTGCAGCTGAGCCTCGGGTTAGATGTTAGTACCCCAGCACTTCTCCGCTCTCTTCATCCAGAGCCAGAAGCTGCTCTGTTCAGCCTCTTCAGCAGCTCTGGGCTTAGAGTGGCTCCTTTATTCCAGTGATCCACAAATTCATGTGAAGAGATTCACAAACACAGCTCTGCCAGGCATTCATTTGCCAATCGTTTATTGTGCATTTGTGCATCGCAGCGTCCATCTGTGTATTTTGAAACATTTCTAGCATCAAGATTTATGGTGGACTCTACTGCCGGCCAATCATAGCACGTTCTCACTACAACCAGCCAGGCAGAGTTGTGTTTGTGACATTTTTTAATGTATTTATCTGGAGCAAATGAGCAATTATAAGCCCATATTTAGGTCCCGATGAACTTTGATGAGCGGTGAACTGGAGAAGGAGAACGGTCCAGACGGCACTGGAGCACATATCAGAGAGCCAAGACGTCTGCTGGACTGCTCTGCCAGCAGATCAATGTAATCTAAAGAACCATCAGACACGATGCAGAGAAGCACATTAGAAACATAGAAGACACAAAGGACAGTATGCAAATCTTGTTTCAGAGGCAGTAGGTTAAATAATTATGATAAATGCAGATGATGACAGAGAAGTCTTTCTGGAACTAATGTCCTTATGTGATTTGTCAGCAACTGAGAAAAGCCTGAGAGAAACAAGAAATGGAGTTCCCTGATATATATATTTGTCAGGGAACTCCATTAATTGCCTGAGTGTACAATCATGATAAAGGTAAACTGAGAAATGTTGTGGCCCTTCAAACTTTTTTTTTTTGGCTTAAAGTATCTTTTTAGTTGTGACAACTCTTGATCCAAGGAAATCAGAATGTATCAGCTACTTTAAGAACATTTGTATTTTGTAAATATTAGAGCAAAACAGGCTTTTGAGTCAATCTAGAAGGGATCGATCATTACAATCATTCCAGCAGATCTCATAAAGTCCACAATCACAGCACTGCAATAAATCACTCACATCCATTCATTCATAGAGAGGAAAGAGAATTAAAAGCTTAGATCACCCAAAAATAAAAATGACTGTCAGTTACTCACCCTCATGTCATTCCAAACCCATAAGACTTTCATCTTTAAAACACAAATGAAGAGATTTGAATGATTTCTGTAATTACTGCTTTGTCACTTCAGAAAGTTCATAAAAAGATGGTCAAAAGTCTTATGGATTTGTAGCGACATGACGGTGAGTAAATGAACTAAGCCTTTAAGTGCTTTAATAAACAATCAGGTCCAGTGTGCATTTTAACTCTAACAGTAACATTTTCATGTTTTATAATTCCCTTAACCCTTGTAAGATGTTTGTTTGGAGGAATGTACTCTCAGAGCCCCCAGACAATAAAAAGTGAATTGAAAAAAAAAAGTAAATTTTTCTCACTGTTGTTTTTACTCTGTATTTACATTTACATTTAGTCATTTAGCAGACACTTTTATCCAAAGCGACTTACAATTGGGGGATACATAAAGCGATTCTTCTTAAAGAGGCAAACAGACACAAGAAGTGGTTGTAATACCAAGTTCTTAGACATTGTTCAAATAAGTACAAGCTAGAAAGAGAAGGAATAAAAAAAAGGAGAGATACTTTTTTTTTTTTTTTATGATGAAGTCAAGTAGCTTCGAAAGAGATGAGTTTTCAGCTGTCGCTTGAAAATTGTCAGGGATTCAGCATTCCGGATAGGGGTGGGAAGATCGTTCCACCAGCCAGGAGTGGTGAACGAGAATGTTCTGGAAAGTGATTTTGAGCCTCTCTGTGATGGTACCACGAGGCGTCGCTCACTAGCAGATTTCAGACTTCTGAAGGGGATGTAAATTCGTAGTAGTGAGTGGAAGTAGGCGGGTGCTGAGCCTGTGGCTGTTCTATATGCAAGCATCAATGTCTTGAACTTGATTCGGGCCGCAACCGGCAGCCAGTGCAAGGAGATGAAGAGAGGTGTAACATGGGCTCTTTTGGGCTCGTTGAAGACCAGTCGTGCCGCTGCATTCTGAATCATTTGTAGAGGTTTGATTGTGCTTGATGGGAGTCCAGCCAGAAGAGCATTGCAGTAGTCCAGCCTAGAGATGACAAGGGCCTGGACAAGAAGTTGTGCAGCATGCTCCGTTAGAAAGGACCTGATCTTTCTGATGTTGTGCAATGCAAACCTGCAAGATCGAGCGGTCTTTGCAATGTGGTCTTTGAAGGTCAGCTGGTTATCAAAAGTTACACCAAGATTTCTGACCGAAGTTGATGGGGTAATTGTATTTGTACAGTTTTGAGATTTACTGCATGTTTTAAATTTATAAAAATATTTTTTGAATAGGGCGTTTTTGCCATCTGTTAAGATTTTTTGCCATCTGTTGGAAAACAGAGCTTTATACACTGAACAAAATTATATTTATATATTTTTTTTTATATATATAATTATAATTTTGTTCAGTGTAAGTAAGAAATTATCACTTTCACCAGTAGATGGCTATAGAGCTCCACTATTGCTATTTACTTTACTATTTGACTAACTGAAAGTCATCTTTCCACTAGTTTCTTTTTTCCCCCCAATCGGATTCATAATTTACAACGGCGTTTTAATACGACGACGTTTTAGTGCCACGTTAAAAAAAATTTAAATCTAAGATTACGAGATTAAAGTCGCAATATTTCGAGAATAAAGTCGAAATACTATGAGAATAAAGTCGAAATATTACGAGAATAAAGTCGAAATATTACGAGAATAAAGTCGAAATGTCACAAGAATAAAGTCGAAATGTCACGAGAATAAAGTCGAAATGTTTCGAGAATAAAATCGAAATATTACGAGAATAAATCCGAGCTGTGGGATTTGCAAATTCATCCTCTCCTCCCGAAACACGTTAAAGTAGATCTCCGGTAAACTGGGAGAAGAGCAGAGTAAACTTTATAGTTACCTACACAATCTGTATATGATATCAATAAAAACATGTCGTCAGATTATATTTGGTAGGATGATTATTTCCGTTTCCATAGACATCAGCGTGTATTTTACAAACTATAAATGTATGGTTTTGCTAGTACTTGTGTAAATGTCTGAAACCTAAAATAAGCATTATATGGTTGAAAACACTGAATATTTGTAATAATATGACAAGCGCTCAGCGCGTCCGATCTGGCTCGCCCCAGCCAAAGCGCGAAAGCGGATTTAAATTCAGCGGTTGATGACGTGACGCGCTGAACGTTCTAATCACACTGGTGTGATCGTACGCGTCAAAGGGTTAACCCTTTGTCTTTTAACCCTTTAGAACCTAAAGCTAAAATAGGCCGTTTTCACTCATTTTGGTTTTTGAACTTATTATTACATATAATTATAAAATTATAACACAATGTGGTATCTTCAAGTGCAAGGTGTCATTTTTTTCAGAAAATTATTGGCTTTCAGGAAATTACAGTTATTGTACATTATTGTGTGTGGTGAGTTAGTTAATAGAATGTAAATAGACAAAAAATAAAAAAACGGAAAGAAATTTTACTGCTTTTTATTTAGAAAAAATCAGAAAACTCATGAACGAAAGAATCTAATACCTCAGTCTTGAAAAAGGAACTGTAATACATATATACAAGTCTTTTTGGGACACTGGATTAAGGTGTAGCTGTTGGTCACTGCAATATTGAGGAAGTGCAGATGTGACCACGGCCCTGGCCCCTCTGAGATGGTGTTGTGTTCGATGTGGATGGCCCATTTGCTTCTTTGTAGGTAACTGGAGAAGCCACACTGGGAAAAAAATAGAAGCATGTGTTACAAACTCACTATATATTTATAAAAATACTTTTCATTATAAAGCAGTTTATTAGTAAGAGCAAAATTGTAAAAAAAAAATTACTATAAAAATACAATAATGAAATAACAATAAAAATAAAGCCCGCAGTTGCTTACACACACACACACACACACACAATCACACACATAGATATGTGCATGCACATACATACGCACAAACATGAATGGATGCATGCATGCATGCACACACATAACGTTACACGAGCAAACATGAACGCATGCATGCACATACGTACTTACACGCGTGTGCAACGCACATATACCACATAAGTGTGTGAAACAGTGGTTTTTCGAACTGAAACACGGAGTCTATGACTATTTTACTCACATTTCTCATAGATTCATCAGAAAGAAACATAAACTTCACTTACCAATCCACGTCTGGATCAATGCCAGCAGCATACGCCTCCTCAACGTCTGAATAGACTCCGGGTCCGAAGTCATGCTCAGCCTCTTCCCAGGTGTCATCAAAGATCAAATCAATCGCCTCCTATCTTGTCAAACCTTTCTTCGCCATGTTTTTGTCCATTTTTTAATTATATTTTGCACTCTCAAACTCTGTAACCTGCTGCGCTCTGTATCTCTCGCTTCAAATCCGCCCTTCCCCCTCTCCTCGAAAGCCGCTGTGATTTGCTGATGGAAAGCATGCAATTACCGTATTAAGCCGTATATTGTCATAAAGCGCAATCGCACGATCACCTTTTGTCTTAAGACGTGTTCTAGGAATAGTTAAAAGGTCCAGGTCAGAAGACGTTAAGGACCGACCAGGAGAGTGTGCATGTAGTAGATCCTGAATATACAGTAGGCGTAATTTGCGGGTGGGACGGGGGGGACACGTCCCCACCACTTGTTGCCAGGGTCGATATTGTCCCTACCACTTTTTGAAAGTAATTGAAAAATATATTTCGGAAGGTATGTATTAAAGGGAAAACAAGATCAACAAATCATTTGCACTCTCAAACTCTAGCCTGCTGCGCTCCGTATCTCCCGCTTCAAATCCGCCCTTCCCCCTCTCCCCGAAAGCTGCTGTGATTTGCTGATGGAGAGCATGCAATTACCGTATTAAGCCGTATATTGTCATAAAGCGCAATCGCACGATCACCTTTTGTCTTAAGACGTGTTCTAGGAATAGTTAAAAGGTCCAGGTCAGAAGACGTTAAGGACCGACCAGGAGAGTGTGCATGTAGTAGATCCTGAATATACAGTAGGCGTAATTTGCGGGTGGGACGGGGGGGACACGTCCCCACCACTTGAGGGTGCAAAGATGAGGTTGCCGAATGCCGACCCACATGGACGTGCCTTTAATAGAAATACACCTTTTCATACAGACTACAAAATTGAAGAATATTACACAATCGAGTGGGCGAGTTTTCCTTATATTTATTTTATTTTTCATATAAAAATTATAATAACCT